TAGTGAAGGTGTCTGAATAAAGTGATGATGCGAAACGAGACTCAGTTGAGCTGTTCAAGTTGATTAAGAAAGTGGAGTATCAGGGATTTACATGATAAGACACCTGGAAACAAATACGAACAACCATTCGTTATCTTCAAATTGAAGGTTGTTCGAAACGCTTTACATCGATTTCTCTTCCCAGTCATCAATATACAACATAATATCTCCATAAATTGTCGTTTATACTTGCTTACCGGGTCAACCCACAGCACGCAACATACTAACCAAATCTCATAGTTCAATCAGGGTTGATCGATTTCTGTAATCATGACCAATGCGTGATGCTTATTCCTCACGTATATCAGGTAAGATATAGGTAGTACAAGTTTATGTGAAATAAATCATTGAGATAACATGAGTTATATGAATCATTTGTATGAAACCGTCTGTAGTTATAAGTAGTATACACCACAGCTTCACTTCAACATCTCTAACACAAACAATTTCCTTTGTTTCCGACTTTCGTTTCTCATTATTTGAATTCCAATAGTATAGAAAAAGAGAAACGTGACACAGTCTGGTTATTCAAGTTGACTAAGCAACTGGAGTGCCTGGGTTTGAACTTATAAGGAAGCTCTAAAAATTCTCATTTAATTGATTGTTATAGTAAAGGTTGTTCATATTAGTAAATTTTGACTATGATAAGTCAAGTTCAAGACGATCAGGTTGGAGTGTAATAGTGACTCATTCTCTCTCAAATTAAGAAACGTAGGTCAAGTACACTCATCACAACAGTGAAATGATGTGCAAATCCGAATTCAGACTACCACTCAGTTCAGGTCAACTAACATATCACCATCATTCACTCTACAAATCTTCTCCACTCATATTCTCAAACACTCACTCATTCACTCATTCACTCACTCACTCAACACAAACACACACGCTGCAATCTCACTCTCACATTGACCTCCACTGAATCACAAGTACTAACGCGAGACAATTGTATGTCCACTCACTCCATCTCAAAGCCAATATTGAAGCAATATTTTCCATTCACGCTGTGCTCGTTTTTGTCGGCTTCTGCATAACAGAACAAGGCTCCGATGTTGTCTGGACAGAAGGGCATTATTTGAAACGAATTTTGTTACAGTCTTTAAATTAACTACCTTGTGTGTCTGTTCTTTTATGGTGAAATACTGAAGTACGAGAATCAAAGATTGAAATATTAAAATACTTAAAAACACGGAAAAAATATCACAATATATATATCACAATATGTAAGAATTCAAATAAATCCCTAATATATAAAATCTCAAATAGGAACAGACTCACACTTTGTAATTTGGTGTACCAGATCACGTTTGGCTCAGCAATAAAGATGACACAGGTATTTGGAGTTCGACAACGCTTTACCTAGTATCACCTTCTAGTATGAATCATACCCACAAAATGAAATCAAAAGACGACGTTCAAGGATACATTTGATAGGGTCTCAACATATCGTGGATCGACTGATCGGATTTGGCTAGCAATTACAGGGGATGTTGAGAACAGCGCTTCCACACCTGATCTGTTGCGGATGCATGACCGAGCGCCCTCAGTTAGGTGAAACCATTTTAAACTAATGTGGTGAGCATCCAAGGTCGAAGGCTTACAAGATAAAGAAGGAAGTCTGGGCATAGGGTTATCGACCTCATCCGGTAGAAATTATTTATTTGGACACATGAATATTGGTACAAGAGAGCGCCAATATATATGCGCCACACAAAACAATGAAAATTCGAGAGGAATACAAAGAAAGAAAAAAAGAGCTAAGGAGCGCAACAAAAAAAGAGAGAACAATAACGGAGAGATTGGTGTAAGTAATGTGCTAGTAATCAGGGAACGCAAAGCTACAATCGGAAGAAATCTTTCAGGTAAAGGAGACACAACCACTTTTTATGAAGAAAGTAAAAGAAGGTTACAGCAGGATCGCCACTGGCTTCTATTCTGAGCCATATCTGATAACGTCTCTAGCCACTGTGTAGCACCATCTCTCAGACCCCAACCAGGGAGTCGTGAAGGACCAACACAAGCCAGTCCTTTGCAGCTTTCTTTCATGCCACGACACCATGTCATGCACTGACCACCTCTCCGCTTCTTCCAACCAGTCCCAGAGTCGGCAAATAATGCACGACGTGGAATTCTCTGGGACGACATTCGTAGAACATGTCCAAGCCACCGAAGTCGGTGTTTCAAGATGGTGACACCAATTGAATTATCATCTCTGTGCCCGAACACATGATGCCGAACCTCTGCATTACTGACATGGTGTTGCCACTGAATGTCAGCAATCCTTCGGAGACAGCGATGATCGAACACAGAGTCGTCTAACGTCCTCAACTCGGAGAGGCCAGGTGTCACAAGGGTAGAGCAAAACTGCTCTCACCGACGCGTTGTAGATCCGACCTTTTACAGCCAGACTAACATCACGAAGGCGCCCATCCGGTAGAAAACTGATTCTTTAAAACGCTGTACATGACCCATGGAACTTCTTTGATCTTAGAATATCTCAATGCATATTTGAGCAACTGGACAGTCATAACGGACAATATACAATTTATTTATATATTAATTGGTCTATATATAGTTGCTGTAAATTGTTCAATAGTTTTTCGAACTATGACATACACTGAATCCTTACATTTCCAATCACACTATTACTACTCACATGTAATATGTAACAAGACTAAAATAGCGCAAATTATGATTTCAATATTAATTGTTGAATTCATGAATCAATTGAAGATTGACCACCATGAAAAACCTGGAATCACTTGACAGCCGTTTCGTTCTACTGCGAGACTCCTAAGTAGTGCAAATCTACGCACCCGACCCATAGGATTCGAACTGAAAACATCTTGGTCTCACAAGCGAATACTTAACTATCTAACGGTTCCAGATAAAGATCTTCTTTGTTGAAACATGTGAATGATAGAAACTTTTATATTATCGATGAAAATATATAGTAAACCTTGAAGCATTTCTCAAATATGTTCATTATGTACTTGTGTGTGTGTCTGTGTCTGAGTTTTTGTTGTTCGTCGTAAATTATGTTTTTTCTCTTCTTTTTTATCTTTTCTCCTTTTCTATTTCCTCTTACTTAAAAATCACTGAATTGATGAAATTGTGAGAAAATTCAACAAAAATGATGAAAATGACTGTCAACGTAGATGAAGATGATAATGTCCAAACTCTTATGATCAACTAAGAGTTACGTAATCATTATAGGATAATGATAATGATTGTAGCTATAACAGAATAGAATTGATTCATATACCATAGTAACAATCAGGATGCTGAATGAATAAATAAGAGTAAAATAAATATGGAATCCTGTAAAAGGGATCGTGGATGCACACTGCTGAGGAGGAATTGATCGTCAAGTTCTTCCAGGTTGTCGATTATGCTCTGGCCCTCATTGACTCATGAATTCAACTATCAAGATTTATTAACTGTTTCGTTCTACTGACTGTGAGGGCTTTTACTGTCATCTTTGATATTAATGACTGAAGTTCATCAATCCAGATGTATTGATACCGTTATCATCTACAAACTGACCTCATTTAGTATGACTACTGGCAATGGAATCAACGATAGGACGATTCATTCTGATTCGGACTTCCCTACAGTGTGTACATTGGTTTGGGTTGAACAATATACGTGATCACATGCGTTTACACTAAAAGGTTATAAGCTATCGAAATACTGGATTCCAAAATTGGTACGATTATCCATGTAGCAAGTTCTTAATATGATGAAATATGACTCATCGTTTTCAGCACTGATCATGGAGAAGAATTTTTTAATGAATTGTACACTACACAGTAATGTCTTCATCTGTATCTCAGTCAGCTAATTTCACATCTCGAGTAGGAAGTCGGTAGTTTTAGTGTGATGTGTGCTACTCAATCCCGACAACTATAAGTAGTAAGTATCACCAATCGAAAGTGGAATGTCTGGAGACAGAAAATTTGGAAAATCGAAAATCAGAGGACGAGAACGGAATACATACTACTAATCCCTTATTCAGACTATTAACCTCAATCATTGTTACGACCATGAAAACACAATTATTACATAATGTACATCCATCATTTACCTACTGACAAACCAAATATATTGGGAACTTGAATTACTATCCTATTGATATCTATGATTAGAAAAGTAGGTGTATGATTACTCTCAGGGTTGTATGACGATGTAACTCATAATCATTCCACTTTTAATGGAACGAATAAAACTTCCTAAATGTTAGATCTTTCGAAGCGTCCAAGTCACCCGATTGAGATACGCGCAAAACCGAAGTTTCCAAAACAACGATTTGTCTACAATAGCGTTTCTTCATTGAATAATACACAAAATGTAGTTATAAACCTCAACTTGTGAGGTGTCTGGGGCGTTTAAACACGTCTTTCAAGTATGAAAATAAAAAGGCTTCCTGTAACAGTAACATAAAGAATAATTACAACATACCATAGTACAAAGGACAGCTGATAACTGTGTCTAAATTAGATAACAGTTTACGAACAACCGAAACCCGAACCAAGAGCAAAACATTATGGAACCTGGTGCGTTTGTAACAGCTTAGGTTGGTTGGTTAAGAGTTGATCCCAAACAACCAAGCATATGCCAAAACAGTATTGTTCAAGTATTCATTCACTTCCTTATTTTGTATAAGCGTTATATTCCCTATTATCTTATATTGAATGTTGAGAGCCTTCGTTTGTCTGAACAGATAATCCCACGCTCCACTGTGACTGCGCGAAGATCGAAATAAATACCTATTCACTACTTGTCTGGTTTCTTCTATCAATAGCACGAGGGTTACCTTAAGGCACGAAACTAGTGAGCCCTTTTTGAACACAAATTTAACCTCATTTCTGTTATTAACATTTTTTTTTACTTACTCGTAAAAGTAGACCTGATTATCCGTAAACTAAGTTGAGTATATAACTAGTTTATTCCGTATTATCTTAAGTTATTCGTGTTATAGTAACCATTTTTCGTGCTAACTTTATTTGTCACATACCTCATGTCAGACTCAATAGAAACCCATAATCTGGAGGATTTGTCACATGTGGAGATAGACACTGTTATGACTACGAAATCCCGACTTCCAGAATTTGATCGTAGTGATCCTGAGTTGTGGTTTGCTCACTAGAGCATTATTTCACGAGACACAATATCAAATCTGAAGGGATTCGCTATAGAGACTTGTGTTCTATCCTTCCTCCTTCAGTCGCCAAAGAAGTCCGTGACTTGATTTTAGATCCACCATCACCACAACCATACACCATCTTAAGACGAGAGATAATGAACCGTTTATCATTATCAGATAGTCAAAGAATCCAAAGACTTTTTCAAGGTGAAACACTAGGTGATCGGTCGCCGTCACAGTTTTTACGTCACCTCCAAGTCTTAGTGGGTGATAACACAGTGGGTGAAGCAGTCCTAAAACAAGGATGGATACAAGCTCTCCCATGCTACGTCCAACACTGTTTGGATGCACAAGATCCTGAAACCTCATTATCTCATTTAGCGCGTATAGCCGACAGAATAATGGAAAGAGGTCCTCCAACTGGATCAGGCACAATAAATCACACACAAAAAGTAGAATCAGCAAAAGACCCCGTCATAGAAGGACTCATTGCGAGTGTTAAGAGTCTCACTGAGGCTGTCACCAGAATGCAAATGGGTCATAGAAACAGGAGCAGGTCACCACAACGACCACGATCCAAGTCACAAATGTCCAGACAATCTGGGCAGTTTTGTTGGTACCACTGGAAGTTTGGTGTCAACTCAACCAAGTGCATGCAACCATGCGCCTGGCCTAAGCATAATTCTAAGACAGCGGGAAACGAGTAACCCCTCCCCAGGTCGCGACGACTGAGGAGGGGCGCCTAAACAGTCGCTTGTTTTATGTTAGAGACAGAAACTCTGGCTTGAATTTCTTGGTGGATACTGGCGCTGCTCTTAGCATCATCCCTCAAAATAAAACTGAGATTAGTCGAGAAACATCATCAATTACACTTCAAGCTGCAAATAAAACTAAAATCGCGACATTTGGGCAGAAAACTTTAACCCTAGATTTGGGGTTCAGGAGGCAATTCCCTTGGGTTTTCACGGTAGCCGACTTAGATCTGGCAATACTGGGGATGGACTTTCTAGAGAGATACGAATTTCTAGTTGACACCAAGAAACGGCGATTAACACTAAAAGAAACTTCGTATTACACAAAAGGCAAAGAAAGTCACATCAGCTCTCTTAACTTGATTCAAACTCCTCCAGTAACAACAGCGAAATTCCAAGATATACTCGCGGAATTTCCAAACTTAACTAAACCAAACCCACAGCCTTCCAAAGACAAACTAAAAGTAAGTCACACTATCAAAACCGAAGGTGCACCGGTGTTTGCAAAACCCAGGAGACTAGCACCAGATAAGCTCAAAATCGCTAGGGCCGAGTTTGATTATATGCTACAACTGGGTATTATCCGTCCCTCTGATAGTCAATGGGCATCCCCTTTGCATATGGTCCCAAAGAATGAAGGTGACTGGCGACCGTGCGGGGATTACAGAGCCCTAAACCGTCAAACCGTACCAGATAGGTACCCAATACCGCATATCCAAGATTTCACAAACGGTTTACAGGGTATGAACATATTCACTAAAATTGACTTAGTCAGGGCATATCACAATATCCCAGTGGCTGATGAAGATATTCCCAAGACAGCTATTACAACACCCTTTGGCTTATTCGAGTTTGTACGCATGCCATTCGGCCTGAGAAATGCGGCACAGACATTTCAAAGATTCATAGACAACCTACTTCGAGATATGCCATTTGCGCAGGGGTATATAGACGACTTGTTAATTGCCAGCCCCGATTTGCAATCACACGAACAGCATGTACAAACAGTGTTGAAAAGACTGGATGAACATGGAATAAACATACATCAAAGTAAGTGTGTCTTCGGTGTTCAAACTTTAGAATTTCTCGGTCACACAATAAGCCCAGAAGGGATTAAACCGATCAAAAAAGAAGTAGACACCATCAAACAATACCCCATACCTAGTTCTCTAACACAACTGAGAAGTTTTCTAGGTCTAATTAACTTTTATCGCAGATTCATACCAGGTTGTGCACAATTAATGCAACCTTTGACAGATTCACTCAAAGGAAAACCAAAAGAATTCAAACTGTCTTCTGACGCCGTCGAAGCTATTAAACAGCTTAAAGATAAATTAGCTCAAGCAACTACGTTGGTGTATCCGAATTCTCTTTCCCCACTTGCTTTGATGGTGGATGCTTCAGATAAAGCAGTAGGCGGTACCCTTAACCAACTGGTTAAAAACGCCTGGAAACCAATTGCTTTCTTCTCAAAAAGACTCGCTCCAGCAGAGACAAGGTATTCTACCTTCGGGCGAGAACTTCTTGCAATCTACCTAACCATTAAACACTTCCGACACATGTTAGAAGGCAGGGAATTTATAGTCTTTACGGATCACAAACCACTAACGAATGCACTAAAAGCGAGAGCTGATAAATACTCACCTCGAGAAGTCCGACACCTTGACTATATATCACAGTTCACAAGCGATATCCGACATGTCAAAGGTCAGGACAATCAGGCGGCAGATGCTTTATCTAGGCTAGAAATGAACGTGCTACAGCAGTCTACAGTAAACTTCGAGACGTTGAGAAACGAACAAGAGCAGGATCTAGAATTACAAAACCTGCTTAAAACAAACAATTCAAGTCTTAATTTAAAACAGTTCCCATCACCTGTCGATGGTATTCTAATTATGTGACACGACCAAGGCATGCCGCGACCTTTCGTTCCCAAAATATGCGAAAGTTGATATATAATAACTTTCATTCTTTGTCTCTCCTGGCGCAAAGCTTCAACAAAATAATCAATGCCAGATATATATGGCCGAATTTACAGAAGGATGTACACAAATGGGTTAGAGTGTTCAGCATGTCAACAATCAAAGATTAATCGTCACACAAATTCACCCATAGGTGTTTTCTCGCAACCAGATGCACGTTTTGCCCATGTGCATACGACTTGGTAGGCCTTTACCACGTTCAAACGGTTTTAATTATCTTTTTACATGCATAGATCGATTTACCAGATTCCCTATAGCCATCCCGATAGCGGAATCACAGCGGAAACAGTAGCCAAGTTTTCATGCAGAACTGGGTAACCATTTTTGGTACACCCATAACAATAACGACGATAGAGGAGCGCAATTCGAATCCGAACTATTTAATAACTTGGCTAAACTTCTAGGCTCCAATAGGATACGCTGCACTGCATATCATCCTCAGGCTAATGGGATGGTAGAACGTTTTCACCATCAGCTAAAAACCGCCCTTATATCTCACTCGAACCCCAATCAGTGGACAGAATTCCTACCATTAGTTATGTTGGAAATACGAACATCTGTCAAAACTGACGCACAGTGTTCAGCTGCGGAACTGGTTTTCGGAACAACTCTGAGACTACCCGGTGAATTTGTTAACCCTAATACTAACAGTCAAAAACTTAATTTAGAAAATTATGTAGATCAACTACGGGACCACATGTCTAAACTTAAGCCGATTAATACTCGTGAACAATCGCGCGCCGTATATATACCTAAAGACCTAAGCAATTGCACGCACGTCTGGATAAGATGTGACAAAATAAAAGCACCACTCAGTCCTCCATTTGAAGGTCCTTTCAAAGTCGTCTCAAGAAAATCTAAATATTTCGTGATAGAAAAACATGGAAACATCGACACAGTAAGTATTGATAGGCTAAAGCCGGCTTATCTAGATCATGAACCACCATACGTGTTGTTAGATCGTTTAACTGACAAATCCATTACGGAATCGAAATGTAAAGATGATAAATCTTTACAAATGACTAAAACGGTTCGCTGGGCACATCCAATTAGTCAGTCAAGGATGTTGACAGTTTCGGCTGCAGGATAAAATCTAACCACGTAGCTAATCACACCCTGCATCTACTTAAAAATAATTTTTTTCCTCATTCCGCCTCACCGACAACTCCCCAGACCTTTTACCTTTGATATATAAGTGTTATGTTAAATATTTTTTTAATACTGGACACATAAGCTAGGTATTCCGAAACGATGGCTGAGGATTTTAATCAAACTCATACAACTAACAATGGCAAATACAACGAATTCAAAAAGCAACCCAGGCGAGTTTTATAATTTCTTTTCTGGTTAATTAACTATGTTGGCTGTACTTCTTATATATCTATATACATTTTTCACGTAGACTGGCTATACATATATACCATATGAACTACTTCTAAAAGTTTTCGGTTGAGGATATGTTTAGTAGCTTCATACGATTAATACTACTATTATTAAGTGGTTTTTAGACAAAACATTTTGGATTAAACCGTGGTCAAGTACTTATTAAGATTCTCATCATTTTTTTCATCTTTAGGAAACTTATGCAATAACTTAACCAGTTTTCCTCCAGCATGCTTTTTAGTGTGATCATATAACCCATCTTTATTGGCAACATTCAGATTTTTTTTAAATTTCTGACATTTAAGAATCAATAACCGTGAAGATATAGTACAGTGCGTTACTGTAAGGTTACTATGTTAGCCGCATTGAGTCCACATACCTAATTTTAAACACAACTTATAAGGGAACTGTTTAGTAATCATAACATTGAACTGACAATATGAATATCACGACTATGCTAACGTTAAACCAATTATTATTAGTGGCCCATACAAAGTCCTGGAACTTAACATTAGCGTTATAAAAAGACATTTTATGTCAATAACTGATATATATATATATATATATATATATATATATATATATATGGCGAGACTCCAATTTAGAGACCAGCCAATCAGAAGCGTTTAAGCAATTTCAATTATCAGTCAATCAGAAGACCTAACCCTAACCTAAACCCTCACCTAACACTAACCCAAACCCTCACCTCACCCTAACCTTAACCCTAACCCTCACTAACCATAACCCTACATCTTAACCCTCAACTAACCCTAAACCCTCACCTAACCCTAAACTTTAACCCTCAACTAACCCTAAACCCTCACCTAAACTTTAACCCTCAACTAACCCTAACCCTAACTCTGTACCTCAACAAGTTTTTAAATCATGTAAAAAAAGAATATCCACTGTAATTCATTACTTTCATATAATATATTTTCACTTTATACTAACTTTCTTCTGATTGGCTAATAATTGTCAAGGTCACCCAAGATTCGTTCAAAGGTCGTCCTTAAATTAGAGTCTCGCCTATATATATAATCGTTGGTTTAAATATAACGTAAAATGGAAATTTACTAAACTTGTAGTTTTTTTCTATAGTAATAATATTAATGTAAACAAAGAACTTATACTTTCCCAATATGGCACTTTGATATATCAATCTGTCCTCTTGTCATTATTTTCTCACATATTTGAGCGACTTACAGGCAACAAACATCGTATTGAAGGTGGGTTTGGTGAACAAAAACGCAGGCCCCCACACACACACACACACGAACCTCTGCCCTCCTGAATGATAGGCCGCGTGCTTAGCCGTTAAACCACATCAGACCACGGAGGAAGTGACTTCAATATTTCCTTACACCAATTATTCACTCATAATACTAATGAGAAATAGGACTTACACACCTCTGAGGTCCAAACCAATTCGTTACTTGGATGAATTGACGAAATACTGCTTCAATATATCATGCATACCTAAATCAAACCAGAGAAAGGTATTTGACACAACTGTACTTGATCCGCATACTCTACACCATTTTTTTTGCTTCTTAACCGTATATTTTCCGTCTTGTGGAGTACTCTGATGCACCCTTGACTACGCACCTAGTTGTAAAATGCGGTCATCATAGGTTCAAGGTCCAAATGGTTCAAATGGTTGTGGACGGAATAGAAGAAGCTTTCGCTTAACAGGCTTCCGTGTCTAGTAGCAGGGGATCACCAAATCCTCCAGGCAGGAACCTAGGTATGTTAACAATAAAAAGGAAAAGAAATTGGTAAATCATAATGTGATGCTGTCCTTGGTCCTTAAGAATAGGTCAAGTTGCCTCTTGAAGGACTCCTGAGAAGTCGCTTGGACTAGCTCGGCCGGCAGCGAATTCCAGCTTTTGACAACTCTTAAGGAGTAGAAGTTGTGTCTACATTCCGTCTTGCTATGTTGTGTTTCCAGTTTCTGGGTGTTACCCCTTAGGTTATTATTCGAACTAAGCTTAAGTGGGTGTTTAAGAGGATGTCCAGAAGTGTTAAGAATACTATAAGCCATTAATAAATCACCTCTAAGACGCCTATATTCTGGTGGGTAAAGGTCTAGTGAACAGAGGCGTTCTTCGTAAGGCTTAGATTTGAGTCCTCGAACTGATTTCGTGGCTCGCCGTTGGATACGCTCCAAAGTGACCTTGTCCTTTTGGAGTGAGGGGGGAGTACTATGTTTCCGTACTCTAAATGAGGACGGATGAAACTATTGAAGATTGTGTGGAAAGTTTATCCGTCAAACTGGCCAAAAATGCGCCTCAATGTTACCAGTGCAAGGTTTGCTCGGAAGGCATTTTTGTCACAGTTAGCGTAAGACTTCAAATCATGGGGCACCAGGACTCCTAAATCCTTTTCGACTTGGGATACTACTAGAGAGGAGTTTCCTAAGTTGTAACTGTAGTTTGCGACATGTCGCAGATGGACTACTTTACACTTTGAAGTGTTAAAGGTAAGTCCGTTATCGTCTGCCCAACTTTGAAGTCGCGTCAGATCATCCTGAAGTGCCTGTGTATCGTCTTGGTTGCGTATCTCTCTCCAAAGTTTCACGTCGTCGGCAAAAAGTAATAAATCTGACGTTACCTGTTGAGGAAGATCATTTATGTAGATCAAGAAGAGAAGAGGCCCTAGTACTGAGCCCTGGGGGACCCCACTAGGACATTCCATAGCCTGAGATAAAGTGAAATTAACCCTAACCTTAAAGTGTCGATTTTTTAGGTATGAAGTAAGCCAATCGATTAGAGGTGGTTTGATACCTAGTCGTTTGAGCTTGTTGATAAGACATAAGTGGTTAACCTTATCAAAAGCTTTTGAGAAATCAAGGTAAATGACGTCAACCTTTCCCTTGCAATCGAGGATGCTTGTCCATTTGTCCACCGCAGTCAGCAGGTTGGTTATACAAGAGTAACCCTTCCTGAAACCATGCTGTTGGGGTGAGAAGAAATTTAAGGACAGTAGATAGTCATTTAAACCGTCGCATATCAGGGACTCCATGAGTTTTGAAGGTAATGACAGAAGAGCCACCGGCCGATAACTTGAAGGTTCATTGCGTCGACCACCTTTGAAAATTGGTGTGATGTGAGCCAACTTCCAGTTTTCCGGTAATTTGCCTCGGCTAAGCGAGTGTGAAAACATCACGCTAAGCGGCGTTGCCAGGATTGAGGCTGCCTCCCTCAGTATGGCAGGATGAACCATATCCGGGCCAGGAGAAGTGTCAAGTCTTAAGTGCTGCAATTTCCGGAACACCAAGTCAGCGCTTAGGTCCACTTCAGAAAGTCCTGTGGAGTTGGAGATGAAACTGTCGTCAATAAAGTTGATGTCAGCCGGTTGAAATGTTTGAGAGTAATGGGCCGCCAGAAGGTTAGCGGCGTCGCCATCGTTGTTGGTCGGGCCGTTAAGACCTAGCAGTTGAGAAACTCCTGTTTTGGCTTGACGAAGAGAGGCTGCATAACGGAATAGGCTTCTAGGGTTAGAGGCGAATTTGTCCATAAGCTTTGTTTGGTACTGAAGCCTGTCTTCTCTTATAGCCTTCGTGCATGTGTTCCTGATATGTTTGTATTGCCTATACGCTCCATCG